CTGCAAGTTCTTTCATCTCCTTAAATGTTAGTCTCCTTCGCTTTGGATTTTCTTGCTTTTGTTTCCCTTTTTTCGATTCTTCTTTGTCCTTTAAACATTTCTGTCCTTGTTCCATTGGACGATTTTGTTCTTGTGAAACCTGACTGTTTTTATTCCCCCCTTCACTGCCGTTTATTGTTTTCCTGGGGACATTCTTCGCTTTAGTTCTACTGTCATTTTGTTCAGGTGTTCCATTACTATTAACAATGTTTTCAGGCGTTTTAGCCTTTTTCGTTAAACTGTCCCTGAAGAGCTTTTTCTTCTTGAAATTTCCTTCATTTTCTCTGTAAAAAAAACAGAAACATTGATAAATAAGCCACAACCAGCAAAAAAGAAAAACAGAGCTTAAACATGGTGCAACTTTTACAAGGGAGCAAACATGTCGCCTGTTACGTAGGTTAAACTGAAAAAAATGTTATACTTTATACAATAGTTACCAGCCTTGACAAACGATAATCACATCTCCAAAGAAGGAAATAATAACGTATTTTGTATATTTATTGTATAACAGACCTTTCTGTCTCGGCAAGTGAAGTAAGAATCTTTTTCTTTCGCTGCAGATCTCTCCCTCGCTTGCGGTATTTTTTGATATCTTGGTACTCTTCACTTTCAGCTCTACAGTGTAAATGAAAACAAGTTGACTTTGACTGTGTTATTTGTGAAATAAATTTGTGTTTCTCCACGAGAGGTTTTTGCGAGTATGTTTGAAAATTGTATTTTAGTTGCCATTCTGCTCCTTTTGGTCAGCTGCAAGAATCGCGACGCTGAGGGAGGGGGACGGGGCCAGCACCGGAACTCCGCAATTCTCGCTGAGAATACAAATCGAGTATTCTGCGCATGTTCAAAACATTGGACGCGACTAAGGGTCGGTCGTGATTCTTGGCCCTGAATAAACGAAGCACAGCCTCTAAGGAAGAAAAATGTGCCTTTAAGGGTGTTAAATTTGTTTTTAAAGCTGAGTTGACGAGAAGTAAAGATATCGTACGTGTGGTATCAAGATAAATCACTCGGTAATCACAAGTACGACAAGTAGGAAAGTCTGTAAAATCTATAGTGGTTCACCTGTACTGAGACATCTTTTTGACTGAGGCCCATTGGTTTAGTTCTCTGTCAGGACATGATAAAATCTAGGGATATAGAAGAAGATGATGTTTGTTACTCTTAAAAGAGCTCAGTCTCAGTATTTTTAGTTATTTTTAGTTATTTTGTCAACGTACAAAACCACCTTTAAATTGAAGGGAACTTGAAAATAATAGTTTACTAAGACAGAAAAACACCAAAGAGATAAAAATGAACCATAAAGTAACAAAGATGGTTAAGGATGGAGAAGATTAACACGGATTACAAACGACGATCTCGAAAAATTTAGGCTAAACTTTTCAAGATGCACAAACCGTGACTTAGCTCCTTTAAGCAAAACAACCTTACGAAGAAAGATAAAAATTCTAGATATTGACTCAGTTTTAGTATAATTTCTTTAGTTTCTAAATGCTCAAATGTCATTTCACTCAAAAGACACCTGTAATTCTCAAAGCATGGCAAGCTCACGGTTTTTATCTAGAGTCTTATTGAAAACCACCACTGAAAACTGATATGTAAGCTTATTGTCTCCTGGCAGTTATGTCAACGCATGCTTAATAGATACCTCTTCTGTTGTGAGCCCGTAGTCATTAGGTACAACTTGTCGGTATTTGAATCTACAAGGCATATCACCGATAATGTCCTCATAATCCAGTTTGTAATACTCGTCAAAGTAGTCTTCAAAGGTCTTCTCGTCTATGGAAATAAAAAAAAAATACCTTGTTAAATTGTATGTTATGTTAGTACTATAAGTAGAGTGACTATCGCAAGTTATGTTAGGGTTTTGTAACCTATTTTGCAATTGTAAGTAAGGTTACTAATGTAGGTAATATTTGTATTCTTAGTAACGTTATTGTTGCAATAAATAAATAAATAAAAATAATGATAAAAACTTTGTTAACAAGGCTTTTGTATAGATAAGATAAACATGAACAGCACTGCGAGATACATAACTGAATTATGCGTACAGAACTCTTTTCACGTTCTTCACGTTTCGTCAATAGAGCAAGTTTTCAAGATTTATTTTAGAGATATTTAAGTTGGCTTTCTCATTGCTGGCTGGACATTGATTGAGTCGGGGCTTCACTGCACAATGGCACTCCAAAACACTCCTCCTGAAATGGTGACAATATCGCTACGCGGCTGTGACGTTGTACCTCTACAAAATAGTGGCTTCACGGCTACAAATAGAGCTAAAAAACAGCAGCTTTGTTGGTTAACCAGTTAACCAGCTGCTCCCACAAGGACTGGCTAAAACATCCCACCATGTAGCAAGATGGCCGCGCAGCAGCATACATGTAGCCATGCCGTCCGGCCAAGCAGTCGCGTAGCCACTCAAACAAGCCTATTTCCCGCTCCAAAAACGCGAATAAAGAGAGAATGACTGTGTAGCCACATACCATGGTTTGGATGTCAGATCTTAATTAGTCTGTCCACAAACCCTCTATTGTGTCTTGAGTTCGTGGAGATCGCAAGCTTAGCAAAATATCAATTTGTACTTCTTAGTTCTCGCCCTTCGTTTAGTTTCGATTGACATGATTTGTCAAAAACTGATCACAGAGTTTCATGGAGTTTCTAGACACCGTCTTCAAAAATTTTTCACCTCTCTTCACAGTGGTTGGAAATATGGTAAAACACTTCTCACTTTAATAGATGACTCACTTGGATCAAACACAGGTTTTTTCTGTGCAACAACGCGAGCGAATCGTGATCTTCCTTTTCTTTTCCTTCCTCCAAACATGTTTGGATCATTTTCATTTTCGTGGTAGTCTGCATCCATCTAAAAGGAACGAAACACGGTTTGTGAACGACGGCAGAAGCTATAAAATCTCCTTCATCTGAAACCTCTTAACTTGGATGGGGACAAAGGATAAGAAAGTGAGGTATCCGGTCACTTCGGTCCATGGTTAGATCGCTGCAAGTCAGTTTGTTCCAGTACGCAGATGGATTATTCCTTGTTCTTTCATCCACTGCCAAGCCAAACTCGGTTAGCCGAGGTAGAGGACTCGGCTTGTGCGGAGCGATCTAACGTTCGGCTGGAGCAAACTGACTTGGAGCGGTCAAACCACGGAGCGAAATGAATTATTCGAAANTTTAGGGCGAAAGAAAACCAGTACCAAGAGAAAGACTTTTGGAGCAAGGCAAGAACCAACCACAAACTCAGCTCACGTGACACTGGGCTGGAACTGAATCCAGGCCACACTCTCAGCACTGCCCCAGCTCTGCTCCCTTGTACTGTATATTTCTTTTAAAGTTTAGAGAGCTTGGTGTTCATCACAAAGAGACTATCCTCTTAATCAGGGACATTTTACAGCTCTGTTCACCGTTTTGGTTTAGGGAGGCATGGGTGCTCAAGACAAAACTCTCTGTTAATGTGTGGAAGTTCTTTTGGTGATGCTTTTAACCTGTCTAGCTTCACTTAAATTTGTTGGATTTTGATTTTTTACGTATACACACCTATTTTACCGTACATTGGTGTTTTCCGTGAGAACTCAGTAATATGTGGTTTAATCAGGTAATGGTCATTATAGTGAATGAAATATTTTTTCATCACTGCTCATCACAGCCTTACCATCACCACAAAAACAAATAACTTTGACAATGTATTGTGCATGATGCACACAGTTCTGACACAACACTCACCAATATCGTCCAAATCATCTTCAAATACAGGCTTTTCATTTTCATCTTCTTCATAAAACTGCTCATTGAATGCTTTCTGCGATGGTTCCAAACACGAAGAAAAAATTGTGGGTCAATCACTGCATTTACACCAAGACAGCTAAAATGATCATACTTTTTTAGACTTACATGTACAGTTGAATTATGTCTATTATAGCCTGCCTAGCAAACATTCCTCTAAGAGTTGTCCGCATAACGCATTGGCCCATGTGAAAATTTAAAGGGAGGGGGGGGAGGCATCTCTCTTCTCCTCACCCCTCAGCCCCTTTCTCCTACTTTTTTGCACTCGCCTCAATTTCCATATTTACACCTTGTAATTACCGTAACTATTTTACTACGACTGTACATAACTTGAAGAGGCATGATCACCCACATTTTTTCCAGTTTATTTCAGGTCTCCTTCCCAGTTTAGTTTAAGTTTTTTTTTACATTTCGTAACTTCTTTCATGCAACAAATAAGAAAAATATAATAACTAGGACCAAATTGTGGAAATGCATCTATTATAAAAATACTTGGCTAGAATCTGAATCGTTCATAATACACCTAACTGGGTGCGCCTAGAAGTTATTTTTGGTTTCTAATTTATTTTTAATTAAAAGCAATTTTGATTTTGACATTCATTTGTTTCAAAATACCTGCATTGCCTCGTCATATTTCTTGGGATCAAAGTCACCTTCTATATCTTCCTCTTTAAAACCAACATTAGGGTTTCCAGTGATTTCTATAATTAGGAATGAATGAATTATTGAGAAAGAATGTTGAATATTCATCACTTTTACTCTGAAGCCAATAACACGTTTGGAAGACTATTGATCTTACATAAGGTTGTTTATAATACATGTACTACCCATTACTTAAAAGTCAAATTAAAATCCCATGTTAAATTAAATTATTGCAAAGTAATTTACAAACTTTCACCACACAAGATTGTTTGCTCTTTCATAAAGCTTGTAGTAAAAATAATATTATTAATCACAGACAAAATAATCACACAATGTACACAACATGATCCCTGAAGTAATTTTAATTTACACGCCTATTTTTTTATTTCGGATTTCCTGTGAGTGCTCAGAAATACAGTATGTGGCTTAATCAGTCATGTTCATTACGGCGAATGAAATATTTTATCATCATTGCTCATCACAAGCATACCATCATCACAAATAAATGTCAAAAGTTTGCCACTAAACTTTACTGTACAAGTTTTTTGTTTGAGTTACTCTGCCAAAAAAAGCAATTCAAATCCACTCATTATAATTATTTTTAGACTAATAAAGCAAGTCCTGAAATGTAATAAAGTACGTTCTGAAAAACCTAACTATGACTGATAAAATTTAAATCTTGACCTTTTAACTTTTCAAGTTTCTCCATTATCTCTTTTCTCTTGAGGTTTTTTAATCTTTTAAGTTCCTCTCGTTTCTGTTCTTTCTCCTGGATTAGCAAAGGAAAAAAAAATATACTTTAAAAAGCTACATGTACAAAACTGAATCAGATATACTTCAGGTTAAACAAAGGTAGGTAAAGTCTGCATATGAGCCAAGCGGCCCATCAGGCTGGAGCTTATCCCGGTTTCCGTAGCATGAAGTGACCAGGAGTATTTCTACTCCCCCTGGATGGCATGCTGGTCCATAACATGGTTACCCACCCCCAGCATTAAATTCGCTGGTACCCAGTTATACACCTGGGTGGAGAGGGGCACTGTAAGAGTTAAGTGTTTTGCCCAAGAACGCAACACAAAGTCCCCAGTCAGGGCTCAAACCTGGACCGCTCGATCTGAAGACGAGCACGCTAACCATGAGGCCACCACACCTCCCACAGGTTATACAAAGACAATACAAAATTGCATGAAGTACACATCCTGACCTTTTCCTTTTTCAAATCCCTTTGTTTTCTTTTTTCTTTTCGACGTTCATCTGTTTTTCGCACTGATCCTTGTATGGTGCGAGGATATGTTTTGATCTAAAGTTGAAAAAGGAAAAGAAAAGAAATACAGATAACTGGTCACCTACTGTCCTCACAATCTTATCACTTTTCTATCCAAGGAAAATCTCCCCAAGATTGAAATCTAGAGGAGTTGTCAATGGGTCATCGTTGCCAACCTTGAAAGTCTGGGCTGGCTTGTTTGAACGTAAGTTAACGTTAACCCTGGACTAACTGAAGTATTGATTTTTCTTGTATAAAAACGTTTTACACTGCTTATGTTTTGTGTGGCTTGGGATTACTTAAATTCAAAAATGAAGGACAAACAAATTATAAACAGAAAACCACACCAAAAAGTTACAAAACTGAAATCAAAAATCTTGCCATTCCTGGGTAAGCTTAATTGCGATTTGAACAACCCGGCCCTGGTTTCTGCGACAGGATTTGCATGCAGGTTATCCGCAAGCATTTGTCAGGTTCCCTTTGGGTAGGGTGGGGGAGGAGGAGTACCTAACAAGGGGGAGGCTTCAGGGCAAAACTGTATTCAAGTAGTCTTTTGAAAGAAAAGGTCACCCTTTCCTAGAAAATGGTACATGTAGCCATTCACATATCTAAAGTAGACACACTGCATCCCAACTGAGTAACCCTTTATAGCTTTTGGATGAATAAGCCATGTGTTGCATCTGTAAATGAGAGTTTTCCCCTACACTTTTCTACAGTCTAAATAATCATTGAAACTCCTTCCCCTTCAAATACCTCTGGCTTCAAAAAGGGACACATTTCAACTGGAGCCTGCTCATACATGTAATTATAGGACTACCCCATTCCTTTTCATGCCCTAATAGTTACCCATTTACAGGCATAGTTATGGGTGAAAGAGGCACCATGAAAGTAGAGTGTCATTTCTAAGAACACAACACAAGAACAGTAGCAGCACCTGACTTAAGTTTTTAGGCGTTATCGCAGAAGAAACATTCTGAGCCTCAGCAATAACTGAAAATTAAAATGATGGGCTGGGACGAGTTTATGATACTTACAAACTCTGCATCTGGTTCCTCAAATCTGAAATTAAATTTCCGTTCAAATTCTTCCTGCTTTTCAACTTCTGACTCGTCCTAGACCAACACAAAATATCTAATCAGTTCAACTACAGAAAGCTGTACACTACAAGCAGTTAATTAAAAGCAATATCATTGCAAGGAAGATATAATAAACTAGAATTCAACTTGCAAATTAAAGTACTGTTTAAACTCCTCTATAACAATTTACTGGTGAAATTACTAGTACCTCATCATCACCTACAATTTCATCATAACTAGGAATTCTGAAAAAAAAAAAACCCAGAGAATTCATAGTAAAATATTTATGGTTTGAACCCAGGAGTATCAGTAGTTCGTCTTGTGTGATCATCCAGGTGAGGATAGTTCTGAAAAGAACTGTTGTTGGTCACTGACGTTTTGACAACCTGAGTGAAGTCATCTTCAGAGTCAAGTGAATGGTGTTTGTCTGTCAATGATGTTATTAGTCTGGTTCATTGAAAGTGATTGTTCAGTTAGCCATGATGGTATTGGCTGAAAGACTCATGTAGACTTTGCCAGCAGTCATTGGTCATACAGAGAATTCATTTAATGAATGGGATATACATTTTGTTGTAAAAGTTACAGCTTAAATGACTTGAACGAAGAGACAATACAGGCTATACCTTTCTGAATCTTTCTCAATGTAACTTCTGTCAAGAATGTAATCTCTCAAGAACTGTTCACCTTCGTCCAAGCTTGGATCCATCCAGTAATGTCGCAATGCCTCCTATAAACACAGTTTGCAAGAGTAATTGACTTAGAACGGGCTTCTAGCTAGGATTTGAAAAGTGGGCATCCAAAATGTGCTTTAGGGCCTGTTCAAATGAACAATTTATAAGGCAACATATGAAAATGAGACGATTTTCTTAAATGAATGACCATCCAAAGGACACCTGGATACCCATCTGGCTAAAAGCCTGACTTATAGTTATTCAAAGCATTAACATTACGGCAAGAAATGTAACACAGTCGGAACAAGGATTTTAGAATTCTCATGGAAGTACATGGCCCAATTCTATACATTCAGGAAATACAACTTACCATTTCCTCATCAGGTTTGGTTTCTTTACTCTTTTGTCCCTTTAACCATTCAACGTAAGCTCTTTCCTCCTCCATCTGTGACAAAGAAACACAATTTACTCAAATAATTCATGTCAAACTACAACTACAACCAGAATGAGCCAATGTAAAAGAAATGGAAAAAAAAATTGTGACCAGAAAAGAAAGAGTTGAAAACTAAGCATAATTATTCATAATGCAATTTAATCCATATTCATTAACTGTCACAACAACATCAAAGAGGAGAATATTAATATCTCAATCACCTTTTCTTCGGAGGTTTTTTCTCGGACTTTCAGGAAGTCATCATCATTATCGTTGTCACTGTCTTGAATGGCTTCCTTAAAACTGACAAATATCAGAAGGAATTGAATATGTAGTAGTGACAAACACAACTGGAATCCCGATTTTTCAAACCTCCAAGGGAAACGAAAATTGGTTCGAAAATTTGGATAGGGAGGGGAGATTTGAAAAAAATGAGGGTTTGAAAAATCAAGATTCCACTCTATTGGCAATTTCCTTTTTTCAGTTGTGAAATGGCTATTGATAGAAATAATAGACATCCATGAAAGATCACTACCAATAACTGGTCTATTTAATTATTATAATTATAATTTACTGCTAAATGTACATGTAACAATTCCTACATTTTAGTTAAATTTCTTGTGACAACTTGTTAGCCACAAAAGAAGATATTACATGGGAAGATACATTGTAATTAATTGTTTGAAGCACAAACTATCCATCATTTCAAATGCGATAAGAAGGACTCAGTTTGAGCCCTGATCAGGGTCATTATGTTCTCAGGCAAGACACCACTTTCACAGGGTCTCTCTCCACTCAGGCCGGTGTACAACTTAGTCCCTGTGAATCTAATGCCGGGGGTAACCCTCTGAATGACCAGCATCCCATCTAGGGGGAGTAGAAATACTCCTGGCAGCAGAATGCTACAAAACCTGGAACAATCACCAGCAGTATGAAGTATGAAGCAGCGCTCGCAAAAAATTGAATCCCAGCTGGCCCTTCCGAAAGTAGCTCTCAAATTTTGATTGCCCTGGACAAGTCTTAGTTTACTTTTTTTTACTTAGTTGACAGACAATTCCCTGGACCCTTGCCCATCAGGCAAGTGAGAATGAAAAGTTACTTGCCCAGCAAGAATATCTATTTGTCCTGGACAACTGGACAACACTTTTTTCAAGGCCTATGAAGACACAGCCTTTACCTTTAATTAATACCTCTATCTCTAAAGATTAAATTTAATAAAGGTTCAATGCTAATTCAAAATTAGGAGCAAGTGGTTTGCAAGGTGAAACTAGTTGTTGGGATCTGGTTACAAATAACTTGTGAACTAGCATTTAATATAAGTCACCACTGACAGAAACTTACCTTTCCTTGATTTGTTTTTGCTCTTCCACAAAGGTAGGGGATGCTCTACCCTAAATAGAAAATACAACACATAAGAGTTGAAACAAAATCTATTTTTGCCTTTAACCAAAGGATTTGGGAATATACAACTAGCCTTTGAAGTATAAGGGTTTTATGTAATATAATTGATTGGTGGTTGATAGAGCACTTTTCAATTGAGTGTCTAAAGTAATCAGGCAATTAATTTTTTGGTTTTACCACGGTTTGAGACTGGCTGAATAGCGTAATTAGTTTGGTTTTGGTTTTATGACACTCACTTGAAAACCTCTCTATTTGCATTGTACTCAAATAAATCAGTTGATGGTAGTTTTAGATTTAAAGCCAAAGATGTATCTACCAACATTTTGAAAAAACACAATTGCAGCAGTGAAATTAGGCGATATCTTTAAATTCTAAAATTCATGATGTTTTTTCTACTGACTGCATCCTTACTTTTAGCTTACCTGATTTGTTTCCTCATCATCACTTTCTTCATCACTTAGAAATGCTTTGCTGACAAGTGCAATGAAACAAAGTTGATCAGGGAGGAACAGAATGGATCACTGCACAATGTTCTGTTAGTTTTTAACTCCTTAATAATTATAATTAACTGAATAAAGCAAGCAGGCCCAGGTGGCAGTGGAAAATTGTGTAACTACTGCACATCTTCATTCTGATTGACACATTTATCGCTCTTGCATGACCATTACCTTTCTAGAGGTGTGCTCCCATATAGCCTGCATAGCAAGCATTTCCATGGGGTTGGGGAGCAAAGAAAGATCAAGGAATGGGATTCTGGGTGTCTTTGCTCCCGAACCCCACGGAAACGCTTGCTATGCAGGATATCTCCCATTCAACTATAGCGTTCAGCCAAAAATTGGCTGAATTCATAACTAGACACAGCAGTAGGGTGAAAAGTAAAGGGAATAAATTTGTCAGCACTACTACCTTTATTGACAACTTTATCGCAAAGAAGTATTTCACATTTGTTGCTTGTAAAAAGTCCTACTTTGAGGCCAGACAATGTCAATGATGGTGCCTATTAAGATTTTCTGGTTGACAAAGTAAACTCTTCCCAATTTTACCCAAGGCAAGTTCCACCCAGGTCCATTTTACACTAACCTCCCTTTTTCTAGCAACTCCTTTCTTTCATAGTCTTTCAAAAACATTGGCTTCTTAGGCTTGTCATGCTGCTTGTTATCCTCTTCTGAGGAAGCTCTTTTTTCTGGTTTTAAATAGCAACATAAGCAACACTCAGAAGTTAGACAGTGTCAACTTACTTTGACAATAAAAACATTCAATGTGTCAAGATTAAAGCATTTATTCCCTACAAAGAATGCAATGCAATTTATTAATATGAATTTTCAGAATTCATTGGTTTATCATGACAATGCCCCAAAGGCGACAATTTTTAACCTGGAGATTGCATAAGCAATCTAAAGGGTTTTAGTGGTGGTGCGGATTATGCACATGATATGCAAATGATGTCCTTCCATCATCTGTAAACCTCTTGGAGTAATTCTGCTGACCAGTAGATAAAGCTCCTGAAATCACTGTATTGGTCAATATTGCAGGCATGAGTATTGTTTTACATTACTAGGTCTAGCTGCAATTGTTGCACTAAAAATGGAAACTTATTTTGTTTGCTTCCTGGGCATAGTTCATTTAACATTTCTATTACAATTTTAATCTTAAATTAACAGATAACTCTAAATAAGACCAATTGTTGGCTTTTGTAATACACATTGGGAACGTTTTTGACGACAGTGGTGAAGTTGCTGGAAGCTGCTATTGTAAATTTCTGCTTCGAAGTTTGAAGTTTAGTAAAGATTTACAAGAAGAAATCCTCTCTACATATCCATGGTACTACTACTGGAGGGTTGAGCTCCCGAAATTAAATTTTCGAAATCAAAGCGCACAGTTTCATTGAGGCCACCGTAGCATTTGTTGAAAAAGTCTCTAGTAAAGAACACCGCGGTCTTGCAAGCCTCTAAAAGGCTCATGATTAAGCCAGATTATAAGTTTCAACTGCAGGCGTGGAATCCACCACGAGAAAATCCTGCTCAGTCTTGAGGACAAACTCACATAAGTCACATTGGAAGACAAATCCTGCATAGCAGGAGTGAGGAGAACTAGATAGAACTTCAGGAACTGAAATGCAATCCGAGCATTAAAATTATGCATATAGACAAAAATTTGGGGGCTTGTTCAAGCTGATACATTTTGACACTTGAATAGGCTGATGAGCTATCATAACACAAAGTCACACAACAGCTCTCCCAAAAAGCTTTATATGTCTATTTACAGTAAATTTAATCATTGTGCACAACACAATTGCATGTGTACAGTTTGATTTTGAGGTCATTTGAATCAACAAAAAAATCGATTTATGCTACAATTGTATTGCGAATTTAACTGGAAAAAAAGGATAAGGTACTACCCACACTAAACATAAGGCTCCGAGAAGTTCCCACTTTAAGAGACTTCATGTCACATATCTGTTACCTAATTCGCATGTTTGCTAGCCAATTTTAGATAAGGCTGAAGTACTTTGTATCTTTCCCCCTTGAAGCAAGATTTCTTTTGTGTTACTATGGTTAGCACCCACGTTCCAATCTAGTGGACCTGAGTTAGACTGCGGGATTCGTCGGCTTTCTTCCGTTTGTTTTTTTAAGTCACTAGTCTTTTTCTTTTCTCCTTGAACCCTTTTTTGGTGAAGAACATCCATCCACACTACGCCGGAGGAACTTGAAACGCAACACTCACAGGTCATTTTGGATTTGTTTTTGTTTCGGGAGAATGCCAGCTCTCATGAAAAGCTTAACATGTCTATTTATAGTGGATTTAATCATCGCAATATGATCGGATGTGTACAGTTTGATTTTGAGGTAATTTGAATCAACAGAAAGTCGATTCGCACTACAATTGCACGGCGAATTAAACTGGAAAAAGGTCAAATAGGACTCCTCTCTTCCCTGTGTACTAGCCACACTAAACGTCAGCATCGGAGAAGTTTGCAGTTTAAGAGACTATATGCCACATATTTGCTAGCCAATTCAAGATAAAGCTGAAGTATTTTGTATCTTTCCCCCTTGAGGCAAGGTTTCTTACATGTTACTACGGTTAGCACCCCCGTTCCAATTTAGTGGACCTTAGTTAGATTCCGGAATTTGTTGGCTCTTTTCCGTTTGTTTTTTTAAGCCACTGGTCTTTTTCTTTTCTTGTTCAACCCTTGTTTTGGTGGAGAACATCCACAAGTGGCTACATGTACTTATTTCAAGCTGGAACTGATGAGAAAACGGTTTCTGACGTTACACAACCTTGCTGTTTTGCATAATTGACTGCAAATTGCATCCGATGGTTCAGATGTTGTGCATTTTCATAGTAAAAAATCTCAGCTACCCTGCGAGGAGAGTCACTTCAATCTTATTCGCAACCTATTCTCTTTCGATCTAACGGTGCCAAGTCACGTGAAGTAGAATACACTTTCGTCTTCAGGTGGGAAGAAAAATATTTTGGGCAAGGCGACGAGAATTGAGAAGTTTACAAGATAGAGTGGATCAATCCAGAATAAGTAAATCGATTGGAACAATGCAGCTCATGTAGTGGAGGTTTGCCAGTTCTTGTACTTCACGTAGTATGCACGAAAAGTTAGTCTTTTTTTTTTTTAAAAAAGACTGCTGTTATAACTAGTATAGCCAGAAGTCAATATGGCAATTCGTATAACTAGAATAACCCATAAGCCACACATGTCAATCATCATCCACTGGGAAATTGACGGGTTTGCTCATAGAGCACTTTGATCTTGATTGTCGTTACCTGTCAACTTGACATTGAATTAATATTATAAGGAGGAGTTAAATTTCCATCATTCCAGGGAATTAAAGAGTTACACAGTTACAAGTAAAGATAATTTCTCATACCATCTTCATGATAAAATTTAGAATCCTTGCTGTAAATCTTAGGGTCTTTATTCTTTATCATGGACAAGACTATAAGAAAATCCTTTTCTTTCTGTGATGTGAGTTCCTACAATTGAAAAGAATGCAAAAATATTCATGGTCAGGAACTGAAAGTTTTGCAATTCAACACAAATTATATTAAAAAAAATTAAAATGTTTTTATTTTATTTCTGACTAAAACTGCCAAGGATTGGGGGGGATCAAAGTAAAAAGCCTTCTGTAGAAGAGATAGAGAATTTTAGTGGAACAACACAACCTAAATCTCCTCTGAATCTAGCCTGCATAGCTGGTGGTTTAGTTGCTTGGAAAAATTATAGGATTGTATAGAGCATGATCTGCGAAAATAAGTTGTGAAGCCGCCAGTGGCTTAGGCCAAAAAATGAAAAAGCCCCCTGCCCCTGGTCCCAAAGCTTAAAGATTTTCTGCTGTAGGTCTCTGTATTTTCGTCATGGGATTCTCCTCAGCTTCCTTTCGGACACCAGTCGGATCTGANCAGTATTTTATTTTTGTTTTATTTTGATCGTGACGTTTCGTGTCAGTGACATGAAGTAGCTTGCAAAACTTTGTAACCACCCGGACGGACTCACGTGGAACTGATTTTGTAAAACTTGGACGTGTCTTTGGTTATTAAAAAAGTGTTAAAAATCAAATTTGTTGTCGTTATGCGAGTTCATTGGGGACTAAAGAAGTAGCGGCAACAGCTATTGTAAATTTCTGCTCCGAAGTTTGAAGTTTAGTAAAGATTTACAAGAAGAAATCCTCTCTACATATTGATGGTACTACTACTGGAGGGTTGAGCTCCTGAAATTAAATTTTCGAAATCAAAGCGAACAGTTTCATTGAGGCCACCGTAGCATTTGTTGAAAAAGTCTCTAGTAAAGAACACCGCGGTCTTGCGAGCCTCTAAAAGGCTCATGATTAAGCCAGATTATAAGTTTCAACTGCAGGCGTGGAATCCACTGTGAGAAAATCCTGCTTAGTCTTGAGGACAAACTCACATAAGTCACATTGGAAGACGAATCCCACATAGCAGGAGTCAGGAGAACTAGATAGAACTTCACGAACGAAAATGCAATCCAGCATTAAAATTTTGCCTATAGACAAAAATTTTGGGGGCTTGTTCAAGCTGATACATTTTGACACTTGAATAGGCTAATGAGCTATCATATCGCAAAGTCACACAACAGCTCTCCCAAAAACTTTTATATGCCTATTTATAGTAAATTTAATCATCGCAACACAATTGCATGAATACAGTTTGATTTTGAGGTCATTTGAATCACAAAAAATCGATTTACGCTACAATTGTGTTGCAAATTTAACTGGGAAAAAGGATAAATAGGACTTCTCTGTTCCCTGTGTACTAGCCACACTAAACGTGGGGTTCCGTGAAGTTCCTACTTTAAGAGACTTCATGTCACATATCTGTTACCTAATTCGCATATTTGCTAGCCAATTTTAGATAAGGCTGAAGTACTTTGTATCTTTTCCCCTTGAAGCAAGGTTTCTTTCGTGTTACTATGGTTAGCACCCACATTCCAATCTAGTGAACCTGAGTTAGATTCTGGGATTTGTTGGCTTTTTTCTGTTTGTTTTTTTTAAGCCACTTGTCTTTTTCTTTTCTTGTTGAACCCTTTTTTTGGTGAAGAACATCCATCCACACTACGCAGGAGGAATTTGAACACAACACGCACTGGTCATTTTGGATTTGTCTTTGTTTTGGGAGAATGTCAGCTCTCATGAAAAGCTTAATATGTCTATTTATAGTAGATTTAATCATCGCAATACGATCGGATGTGTACAGTTTGATTTTGAGGTCATTTGAATTAACAAACAATCGATTTGCACTACAATTGCAAGGCGAATTAAACTGGAAAAAGGTCAAATAGGACTCCTCTGTTCCCTGTGTACTAGCCACACTAAACATCAGCATCCGCGAAGTTTGCAGTTTAAGAGACTATATGCCACATATTTGTTAGCTAATTTGCATATTTGTTAGCCAATTCAAGATAAAGCTGAAGTGTTTTGTATCTTTCCTCCTTGAGGCAAGGTTTCTTACATGTTACTATGGTTAGCACTCACGTTCCAATTTAGTGGACCTTAGCTAGATTCTGGAATTTGTCGGCTTTTATCCTTTTTTTTTTTAAGCCACCGGTCTTGATCTTTTCTTGTTCAACCCTTGTTTTGGTGAAGGACATCCACAAGTAGCTGCATGCACTTAATTCAAGCTGGAACTGACAAGAAAACGGTTTCTGATGTTACATGACCTTGCTGTTTTGCATAATTGACTGCAAATTGCATCCGATGGTTTACATGTTGTGCATTTTCATAGTAAAAAATCTCAGCTACCCTGCGAGGAGAGTCACTTCGATCTTATTTGCAACCTATTCGCTTTCGATCTAACAGCGCCAAGTCACGTGAAGTAGAATATACTTTCGTCTTCAGGCGGGAAGAAAAATATTTTGGGCAAGGCGACGAGAAGTTTACAAGGTTGAGTGGATCAATTCAGAATGAGTAAATCGATTGGAACAATGCAGCTCATGTAGTGGAGGTTTGCCAGTTCTTGTACTTCATGTTGTATGCACGAAAAGTTATTCTTTTTTTTTTTTTTGAAAAAAAAAAAGACTGCTGTTATAACAAGTATAGTCAGAAGTCAATATGGTAATTCTTATGACTAGAATAACCTTTAAGCCACACATGTCAATCATCATCCACTGGGAATTTGACGGGTTTGCTCATAGAGCACTTTGATCTTGATTGTCATTACCAGTCAACTTGACATTGAATTAATATTATAAGGAGGAGGTAAATTTTCATCATTCCAGGGAATTAAAGAGTTAAACAGTTACAAGTACCGGTAAAGTTAATTTCTCATACCATCATCATGATAAAATTTAGAATCCTTGCTGTAAATCTTAGGGTCTTTATTCTTTATCATGGACAAGACTATTAGAAAATCCTTTTCTTTCTGTGATGTGAGTTCCTACAATTGAACAGAATGCAAAAATATTCATGGTCAGGAATTGAAAGTTTCAGAATTCAACACAAATTGGATAAAGAAAATTCTTGGAAGAGATAGAGAATTTTAGTGGAACAACACAACCTAAATCTCCTCTGAATCTAGCCTGCATAGCTGGTGGTTTAGTTGCTTGGAAAAATTATAGGATTGTATAGAGCATGATCTGCGAAAATAAGTTGTGAAGCCGCCAGTGGCTTAGGCCAAAAAATGAAAAAGCCCCCTGCCCCTGGTCCCAAAGCTTAAAGATTTTCTGCTGTAGGTCTCTGTATTTTCGTCATGGGATTCTCCTCAGCTTCCTTTCGGACACCAGTCGGATCTGAAGCGATGTAAGCTTAGCTTCCCTGTGAAGAAGATGGATCACCCAAAGGCCTTCCGAACATTCCCGACGTCTCAAAAATAACGAAATTAATGAAAAAAATTTAACAAGAGCCACAGTAGGTAGTTCCCAGGAGATTTGGTGCTCTAACCGGGAGACCGGGAGATTTGATGAAAAGCTTGGAGACTCCCGGGAAAACCGGGAGAGTTGGCAGGTCTGCTGGATACCCAGGAGAACGTTCACAGGCCACATTAGAAGCTACCTGCATGTGCAAACTAAACATTAAACAGACATCAAACTCACCCGTGCATCGTCATCTTCAGATTCGGAGGAGCTTGAATCTGATTCACTGTCAAGGTCCTTGTNAGAAAATCCTTTTCTTTCTGTGATGTGAGTTCCTACAATTGAAAAGAATGCAAAAATATTCATGGTCAGGAACTGAAAGTTTTGCAATTCAACACAAATTATATTAAAAAAAATTAAAATGTTTTTATTTTATTTCTGACTAAAACTGCCAAGGATTGGGGGGGATCAAAGTAAAAAGCCTTCTGTAGAAGAGATAGAGAATTTTAGTGGAACAACACAACCTAAATCTCCTCTGAATCTAGCCTGCATAGCTGGTGGTTTAGTAGGTTGAAATAATCATAGGCTTGTATAGAGCATGATCTGCAAAAATGAGTTGTGAAGCCGCAAGTTAAGTTGCTTAGACGGAAAAATGAAAAAACTGCCTGCCTGGATTTGCTGCCTTTTTGATTACTGTCCCTCTGCACATTTTGACAATCTGTTAACAGGTTTTGTCTGCATTGCGGGAATGAGAAGGGGAAGGTGCGTGAAAGTCAAATTGGGAAATCACAACAAATTTTGATGGCAGTGAAGGGCAATATGCAGAAAAGCCTGTTGAGGAAGGGAAATGAAAAACAACAAGGGTTTCTCAATTGTCCGCTAAAGATTTCAATGTGGGAAATTTTAGAAGACATCTTGTACTACGACCCAAAACCTATTAGTCTCCCATTCATGGTTTTCAAGCAAGTCTGTGAACAGGCTCCAGGTGTGGGTGGAAAAAAAATTGGTGTGCAAAGGATGTCGATGAGTGCGAAAAAATGAATTTGGTGAGCAAAGCCTAACTACCTTCTTTACTGATTTGTAACAAGCTAATCACAAATTGCCCGATTTTTTCTTTTATGCTTGTCAGCTTGCTTTACTCACCAAATTTTTTCTGCCCTCGGAGGGAGAAGGTTTACAGTCACTTCATTCCAACCACTTCATTCCATCAAAGAGTCACTTTGTTCCATCAGAGTCACTTTGTTCCACCTCATAGTTACTTTGTTCCACAAGTAAACTAAGCTATAAAACTTTTATTTTCAATAGATTTTCTGAAAATTCGAAGTTAACGAATGCTTGGTCTGTTTTGAATCTTTGTTTACAAAAAAGTTACTCCGCCATCTTGGATTGTTGTGGAGCCCAGTCTTTCCCGCGTTAGTGTTTTCATTGTTTATATCTTTAATAAATGTCATTAATTATGTACTTTAAAATAGGTTTCTTGTGTTGGTCATTGCTTTCATTTATTTGGTGGCTTCTAAAGGAGCCTTTTTTTTGGTTTGGTATACTTTATTAACTTGTCTTCACATTTCAAGTGGTCCATTACTTAAGATGACAGCAGGCCTTCAATAGCCGTCTTGCTAATCTTTCCTTGCCTTCGAACTGGTCCCAAAGCTCAAAGATTTTCTGCTTGAGGTCTCTGTATTTTCGTCATTGGATTCTCCTCAGCTTCCTTTTGGACACCAGTCGGATCTGAAATGATGTAAGCTTAGCTTCCCTGTGAAGAAGATGGATCAGCAGGTACATGGGAACCTGTCCTCGTCCGGATGCTCATCGATTTAGGCCATGGTGCCAACCCTCAACATCGTTGTTGGTTCTGACAGCCTGCATGTAGCAAGTCCAATCTTTTGGGCTCCAGGTGCTTATGTGGATCCAAGTGCTGGATATGTAGTCGCCAAACTCGAGAAGTGGCTCCGACACCTCCCTGTGTAGTGTCTCTTAAGGTGTTTAGTAGCTTTGTAAGATAAGAAGTTCACTTGCTTAGTTTGTAAGAAAGATTAGGAGTTTACTTGCTTACTTTCCCCTTGGAACGAAGTGACTATTCCTTGGAACAAAGTGACTCTTTGATGAAACGAAGTGACCAATGGATGGAACGAAGTGATTTGGAACGAGGTGACCATGGAAAGAAGTGACTGGATACCCGGAAGAATGTTTACAGGCCACAGTAAAAGCTACCCGTATGTGCAAACTAAACATTAAACAGACATCAAACTCACCCGTGCATCGTCATCTTCAGATTCGGAGGAGCTTGAATCTGATTCACTGTCAAGGTCCTTGTCACCAAATTTCTGTTTTACTGGAAGCAACACAGAAAACATCATTTAGAATGGGACTGAAGCCCTGCATGTAAGTTAGCTTTGTAAAACACGTGTAAGATTTCCCCCAATAACTACGCGCCCTAGTAAATTTTTCTTTCAGACCTTTACGAAAGGCTTTCAGTACTTACATTGATCTAGTTCTGCTCTTTCTTTTTGTTTGTGGAGTTTCTTGGCAAAGTCCTCGTTCACAGTCAGCTTCAAGTTCTCCATGCCGTCCGCCATATTGAATTACCCGATTTACCCTATTGAATATGCTCCCAGTTTTGTACCGCAAGCCACTCATATCGTGGTGGCATTTTTCAAAATGGCGGACGCGTTGGAAACATGTTAGTTCAGTAAACAAATTGGATTTATTTCTGAATGTTTATCTGCGATCTTTAAGGATTGTTGATTTTCAAAATCAAGAACTATGTTTTTTGTTAAGGATCGACTACTTTGTGGATAGCTTTCACGCGAAAGACGTTTTCATTCATTCATTCGAGTTCAAAATGCCTTGTGGTCATGGCGCTTTTATAGTTCTTCTTTTATTTTGTCAAATCGTGGGCTTAATGCTGTTTTTGAGAGGCTTCTTCCCACTGAAGAAAGCTATCCACGGAAGGGCAACAAATGAGAACCTGCCACCAGAGCCGTCAGTTGAAGGAACAAGACATCCTTTGCCTCCAAAGTTTGAACGAGTAGTCATTATGTTAATCGACGCTTTAAGAGCAGATTTTGTTTTCAGTGAACAAACGAAGATGCCTTTTACGCAAGAAATGATCAAACGTAACAGAACGTTCAGGTAACAATTAAAAAAAAGCNTTTCGCCAAGGATCTTCAAAGATTTTGCTCAAAGATCTTGCCAAGATCTTTAGAGATCTTAAAGGATCTTTTCAAAATTAATATATTTTTCAAGATCTTTCATTTGAGGACCTTTGCAAGATCTTTCAAAGATCTTTTAAGAATCTTTGAAAGATCATTATCAAGATGCACAAAGATCCAGTAAGATTTTTTACCAGGGATGCCTACCTCTCTAAACAGCCACCTCTACAATTTTTTTCATTGTGTACTTTGTCCCAACCATGAGCCAATCCATACATGTTATGACTTGTTGGCATCACCCTGCAGTGGCAAGTTTAGCCTGCGTAGCAAGTATTTCTGTATGGGCCGAATGACATTGGGCTGCACGAAAGAGCTTTTTCTCATTCAGGCTGCACAAAAAATGGGGTGAGAGCAAAGAGGTTGAAGGAAGCCGATCAGCTTCTTCTACCTTTTTGCTCTCGTTCCACTTTTTGCGCAGCCTGAAATGCTCTTGCTCCATTATTCTTGCAGCCCAAAATGTGAAAAAGCTCTTTCATGTGACCCAATTTCATTCAACTCGTACAGGAACACTTGCTACACAGACTATCAGGCCAGTTAATTCTGCCCTAGGATGGCCACGAGAGGTTCAACATATATTTATCAATAACTGCCGTTAGGTTGATAACAATGTCACCAGACACATTGACAAAGAGCTGAGTAGTGATGACTGGGACGTGATGATACTTCACTACCTGGGCCTGGATCATATAGGACATATTGCCGGACCATCCAGTCCCTTTGTGGGGCCAAAACTTCTAGAAATGGACCATGTTGTTAATGACATTTACAAAGCAATGCTTAAATGGGATCGAGGAGGAAAGGCTCCTTCCCTGCTGGTGCTGTGTGGTGATCATGGAATGAGTGATGCAGGGAGTCATGGAGGTGCATCTTCTGCCGAGACCAGCACACCCCTTGTGTTTATGAGCCCTTTATTTGAACACAGTGGAGGTGAAGAGTTTTCCAAGAAACAAGTTCAACAAATAGATCTTGTACCAACCTTGAGTCTTCTTTTGGGACTTCCTATTCCTCAAAACAGGTAGAGCACAAATAAACTACATTAAATTATGAGATTTGCTATTCAAATACCTCTACCTGTGCTCAGGCACTCTTTTCTGGAGGGTGGGCACTCACCCCCCTACAAAGAATGCCTGGTCATAGCAGGTTAAAATACTTCAAAGCAGCTAAACTTACTTAAGGTCTTTCTATGTGAAAAAAGAAGACATTTCTTTCAAATCTGCTTTTATTTTGATGTATAGCCTCTTATGGGATGCTGAGATATTTTTGCTGAGGCAACTACCTCGGTTCACCTGTTACTAGCTATGACCCTCCCCTCCACCCAAGAAAACATCGCCGTCAATGCAAGACTCTTGACAGAACCAAAACAAATGTCAATGTCTTTTTCAATCTCATCATGTCTCTTTCATCCTGTCTTTTTGTCTTTTTAGCATAGGAATTGCCCTTCCTAACCTCTTCAACTTCCATGAGCCAAGGGAGATGCTTAGAGCCCTACAGCTGAACACTTACCAACTGTCTCAAGTACTTACTGCAAATGGCCATTCAGTTGATGATATGTGGGAACCTCAACATGCACATAAGCTGCACTCTGATTGGTTGAAATCAGCAGCAGTCAGTCACAATGCCAAGAACCTAGAGACTATGGCAGGCAAGGTTGCTAAGCAGTACATCCTGGCACTTCAGAAAATGAGCAGTCATGTGACTGCCTCGCTTTCAAGCTATGACCTGCATGCAATGGTTTGTGGTATAGCTGTTTTGGTTCAAACGCTGTACTGGGTCATCTCTGGATTACTTCAACTTTATTTTCAGAACAAAAGAGAGGACTGGCTGAACGTTTCTGTAACAAGTATTTTTGTTGTGAGTGGCACTGTTTTGCTTGTTGCAGTTCTTCATCTGTCTACTTGTTCCAGTACAGTGATTGGTAAGAAAATAAATACGTGCCTAGCGCTGATCTGTTTAAATAATAGTGGAACGATCCTAGTTTTACATCAAACTTTCACAATGCTGCAATAAAACAGTTATAAAATGTACAGGGGTTGCAGCTGATGATGATGACAGACAGACAGACAGACACACAGACAGATAGACAGACAGAAAGACAGACAGACAACCTTTATTTAAGTATTTTATGGGGTCGTGCATGACGATGACGATGAGGGCGAGTTAACCGGAATCTTTCAGGCTCTCCCGTGTTTGCATCAGGCCATACAAATATACATGGGCGTGTGAAAAATTTAAGATATATATGTTATTTGCCGGCTGGAAGGAAGGTAACGTGGCAAAACTGTGACCGAGCTCTTGAAAATGCTGATGGTTTGAGGTCACAGTTTTTCACTATTCGGACAGACCCTAAGCCGGTAAATAACTTTTTTTAGTTCTCTTTTTCTCTCAAATCATAAAAATTCAAGGACAAAAACTCACGAAAGCGTTACCGTGACCGTGGGCAGAGAGAGGAAAATTCGACTGAGTTGCCAATCAGATAGCGGGATTCGTTAGCGTGCCCTCTTGGAAAGAAAATAAAACGTTATCTTCACACTTTCACAGCAGTTACCAAGCATGCTTAAGAGATTTACACTTCCTGTTTACATAAGCCTGACATGTTTTTCTGTTATGCTGAACAGCAAAAATCTCAGTCTGGTTGTGCTGTTTAATGGCTAGTAGCAAGCAAGGTTACTCTGGATTGGAAGGAGGAGAACTCAGCAATGCCATAAATGGTTGAGAACTTAAACAATACCAGGAGAAAATCGTCACAAAATGCCGGTAGTCTTTGTGTTGATGAGTAGCACTGACTTAGGCGTGTTTCACTGTATCGAACTGAAAATGAAATACGTTTCTTGCCACCCTCTTCTTTTGTGACCAAGGCCACGTCCACACGACGTCGGAGGAATTTGAAAACGGAGGTTTCACTCTGAAAACGCATCAAATGTTTTCCGTCCACTTCGCCGGAGGTATTTAAAAACGCAACAATCACCGGTCATTTTGGACTTGTGTTTATAAAAAACTCGGTCAGAGAAATCACATGATTATCTTCGAAAAGCTCTGTTTTTGAAATGTTTTCTGTCCACACGAAAACGAAAAGCCGGCGTTTTCAAATTGCTCCGCTTTGAAGAGCGTTTTCGTGACGGATTAGTGTGGACGGTAGGCCTAACCGTGAAAAGAAAGCTGCGCTTTCAAACTTCTCCTGCGTAGCGTGGACACTGCGGAAGTGTCAAATAAGGCCTGAAAAAAAGAAGAAGAAAGAAAGAAATATCAAGGTTCCCTAATTAGTGTGTTTCTTCTTTCTTTTCCAGGCGGAAGCGACATCTTGTGCTCAACAAACACTGCCGAATCCATTCTTTACAGTTTGGTATTTGCCTTGCAATCAGGAGTCACTCTTGTATCCATCATGTTTTGCCTTAATCGCTACATTCTTAGCCAACAGTCTCCTCGCGTATCGCTATTTTCGGCTTTTTCATCCCTATTCCAAAGCTCGTCATGCAGTGTTCTTGCAATAGGAGTTTTACTTCACGCTCTGAGTCTTCTATCGAGTAGTTTTGTGGAAGAAGAGCATCAAACATGGTACTTTTTCACTTCAGCTTTGTTCGTGATGATATTCCTTGAGAAAAGCACGTTGTTTCGTAGGGGAAAGAATCACAAGGATTCGGAGAAACCAGAAACGGTACCAAGGCAGGAAGAAATCTCGAAAGACAAAAATTCTCAAAAATGTAGCAGTGAAAAAGTATTTGATCATAGTAATGAAGTTAGGAACGCGAACTTTCATAATGATCACAGCTATTCCAAAAGCAGTGGGATAAATGTGGATGGTGTTTTGTCAGAGGGTGAAAATGCCGTCGAAGATCTCTCACGGCCAGTGTCAGCCAGGAAGAAGGTTGAAATGACACATCAAAATGGCTTTTTGTCGTATCTTTTGGCTGTTTTAGCACTGCTTGGTTTAGGAAGATTATCCAGAGGTTGGAACCAAACTGGAATGAAATGGGCTGATAGGCCTGACATCGGAGATTGGCTCGTAAAGCCCGAAAACAGAACAGTCTTGTCTATTTGCTACTTTATATCTCTAATTGCCATTGCCGGATTTCGTTACAATCGTCAAAATGCTGTAACTTCATTTGTCTTTATCATCGGCGCTGCGAATGCTTATGTTTACAGGACTGTCACGGGGAGTCTCCGGTTACCATGGATACCAAATGAACCAATATCTTTTTCTCTTGCAGGCACTTACAACAGGTGGGATCCCAGGATTTATTGATGTTGTCTTCAACTTCGATTCAAAATCTTTGCAAGAAGACAATTTGATTAGTCAGATGAAGACTGCCAACAAGAAGCTTGTGTTCTATGGTGATGACACATGGATGAAGCTATTTCCTGGACACTTTGCCCGAACAGATGGAACAACTTCATTTTTTGTCACAGATTACACTGAGGTGCAGAAAAATAGTTATGTCTTTTCAAATAAATTTTCGTTGTAAAATGACAGCACATGATCACTCACGTCAGTTCTGAATTCATCAGTTTTGTTCTTCAACCCAGAGCAATTTCATATCTGCTCATTGACATTGAAAATATATGGTCTCATCAATACTGCTATCTAAAAGGTATTAAGCATTTATTTTGAACCTGAAACACAGATGAACTTAAACTAATCCTGGTAAAAATCTTTCGAAGATATCTGAACAAGGATCTTTAAGGATATTCATAAACTAAGATAGAAGACCTTTAAAAATTATTGCCAACAGCCTGGATCTTTAAAAAGGATCTGTAAGGATCTTCAAGGATTATCAACTTTCTTGCCATTTTCGCCAAGGATCTTCAAAGATTTTGCTCAAAGATCTTGCCAAGATCTTTAGAGATCTTAAAGGATCTTTTCAAAATTAATATATTTTTCAAGATCTTTCATTTGAGGACCTTTGCAAGATCTTTCAAAGATCTTTTAAGAATCTTTGAAAGATCATTATCAAGATGCACAAAGATCCAGTAAGATTTTTTACCAGGGATGCCTACCTCTCTAAACAGCCACCTCTACAATTTTTTTCATTGTGTACTTTGTCCCAACCATGAGCCAATCCATACATGTTATGACTTGTTGGCATCACCCTGCAGTGGCAAGTTTAGCCTGCGTAGCAAGTATTTCTGTATGGGCCGAATGACATTGGGCTGCACGAAAGAGCTTTTTCTCATTCAGGCTGCACAAAAAATGGGGTGAGAGCAAAGAGGTTGAAGGAAGCCGATCAGCTTCTTCTACCTTTTTGCTCTCGTTCCACTTTTTGCGCAGCCTGAAATGCTCTTGCTCCATTATTCTTGCAGCCCAAAATGTGAAAAAGCTCTTTCATGTGACCCAATTTCATTCAACTCGTACAGGAACACTTGCTACACAGACTATCAGGCCAGTTAATTCTGCCCTAGGATGGCCACGAGAGGTTCAACATATATTTATCAATAACTGCCGTTAGGTTGATAACAATGTCACCAGACACATTGACAAAGAGCTGAGTAGTGATGACTGGGACGTGATGATACTTCACTACCTGGGCCTGGATCATATAGGACATATTGCCGGACCATCCAGTCCCTTTGTGGGGCCAAAACTTCTAGAAATGGACCATGTTGTTAATGACATTTACAAAGCAATGCTTAAATGGGATCGAGGAGGAAAGGCTCCTTCCCTGCTGGTGCTGTGTGGTGATCATGGAATGAGTGATGCAGGGAGTCATGGAGGTGCATCTTCTGCCGAGACCAGCACACCCCTTGTGTTTATGAGCCCTTTATTTGAACACAGTGGAGGTGAAGAGTTTTCCAAGAAACAAGTTCAACAAATAGATCTTGTACCAACCTTGAGTCTTCTTTTGGGACTTCCTATTCCTCAAAACAGGTAGAGCACAAATAAACTACATTAAATTATGAGATTTGCTATTCAAATACCTCTACCTGTGCTCAGGCACTCTTTTCTGGAGGGTGGGCACTCACCCCCCTACAAAGAATGCCTGGTCATAGCAGGTTAAAATACTTCAAAGCAGCTAAACTTACTTAAGGTCTTTCTATGTGAAAAAAGAAGACATTTCTTTCAAATCTGCTTTTATTTTGATGTATAGCCTCTTATGGGATGCTGAGATATTTTTGCTGAGGCAACTACCTCGGTTCACCTGTTACTAGCTATGACCCTCCCCTCCACCCAAGAAAACATCGCCGTCAATGCAAGACTCTTGACAGAACCAAAACAAATGTCAATGTCTTTTTCAATCTCATCATGTCTCTTTCATCCTGTCTTTTTGTCTTTTTAGCATAGGAATTGCCCTTCCTAACCTCTTCAACTTCCATGAGCCAAGGGAGATGCTTAGAGCCCTACAGCTGAACACTTACCAACTGTCTCAAGTACTTACTGCAAATGGCCATTCAGTTGATGATATGTGGGAACCTCAACATGCACATAAGCTGCACTCTGATTGGTTGAAATCAGCAGCAGTCAGTCACAATGCCAAGAACCTAGAGACTATGGCAGGCAAGGTTGCTAAGCAGTACATCCTGGCACTTCAGAAAATGAGCAGTCATGTGACTGCCTCGCTTTCAAGCTATGACCTGCATGCAATGGTTTGTGGTATAGCTGTTTTGGTTCAAACGCTGTACTGGGTCGTTTCTGGATTACTTCGACTTTCTTTTCAGAGCAAAAGAGAAGATCAGCTGAACATTTCAGTAACGAACATTTTTGTTGTGAGTGGCACTGTTTTGCTGGTTGCAGTTCTTCATCTGTCTGCTTGTTCCAGTACAGTGATTGGTAAGAAAATATATAGAAGTAAAACTCTGATCTGTTTAAACAATAGTGGAACGGTCGTAGTCTTAGTCAAACTTTCGCAATGCTGCAATAAAACAGTCGTAAAATGTACATCAGTTGCAGCTGATGACGAATATAGACAGCCAGACAGAAAGACAGACACACAGACGGACACACAGACAGACAGATAGATAGATAGACAGACAGACAGACAGAACCTATATTAAAGACAAGTTAACCGCAATCTTTCGTGTTCTCCCGTGGTTGCATCAGGCCATACAAACAAACTTGTTTCTTCAGTACATTAAGAAACATACGCCTGTGAAAAATTTAAGATGTATATGTTATTTACCGGCTGGAACGAAGGTATCGTGAGAAAACTGTGACCGAGTTCTTGAAGATGCTGATGGTTCGAGGTCACAGTTTTTCACTATTCCGACCGACCCTAAACTGGTAAATAACTTATTTCTATTTTTTAGTGGCTCTCTTTTTCTCTCAAATCATAAAAATTCAAGGACAAAAACTCACGAAAGCGTTACCGTGACCGTGGTCAGAGAGAGGAAAATCAGGATCGTGATAACAACCAATCAGATTGCAGGATTCGTTACCGTGCCCTCTTGAAAAAAAAATTAAAATGAGATCTTCACACTTTCACAGCAATTACTAAGCATGCCTAAGGAAATTTACACTTCCTGCTTATGCCTGAAATTTTTTTCTGTAAAGCTGGACTGTAGAAATCTCAGTCTCGTTGTGCTGTCTAATAGCTATTCGCAAGCTAGGTTATTCTGGATTGGAAGGCGGAGAGCTCAGCAATGCCGTATTAGTGATTGGTTGAGAACTTAAACAACACCAGCCTAAAATCGTCACATGCCGATATTCTTTCCACTGAGGGGTAACACTGATTTAAGGCGTGTTTCATAGTATCGAACTTAAAAAGAAATACGTTACTTGCTACCCACCTCTTTTGTGACTAAGGCTCCGTCCACACTACGCTGGAGGAATTTGAAATCGGAGGTTTCACTTTGAAAACGCATCAAATGTTTTCCGTCCTCACCACGCCGGAGGAATTTAAAAACGCAGCAATAACCGGTCATTTTGGACTTGTATTTATGGAAAACTCGGTCCAGTAAATCACATGATTATTTTGACGCCATCGTTTTCGAAAAGCTCCGTTTTCAAAATGTTTTCCGACTTCTCCGTCCACACGAAAACGCAAAGCCGGCGTTTTCAAATTGCTCCAGTTTGAAGAGCGTTTTCGAAAAGCTCCGTTTTCGTGACGGATTAGTGTGGACGGCAGGCCTAACCCGAAACATAGCTGCGTTTTCAAATTTCTCCGGCGTAGAGTTGACGCTGCCCACAGGAGTCAAATAAGGCCTGACAAAAAAAAGAAGAAAGAAAGAAATATCAAGGTTAACTAATTAGTGTGTTTCTTCTTTCTTTACAGGCGGAAGTGACATCTTGTGCTCAACAAACACTGCTGAATCCATTCTTTACAGTTTGGTATTTGCCTTGCAATCAGGAGTCACTCTTGTATCCATCATGTTTTGCCTTAATCGCTACATTCTTAGCCAACAGTCTCCTCGCGTATCGCTATTTTCGGCTTTTTCATCCCTATTCCAAAGCTCGTCATGCAGTGTTCTTGCAATAGGAGTTTTACTTCACGCTCTGAGTCTTCTATCGAGTAGTTTTGTGGAAGAAGAGCATCAAACATGGTACTTTTTCACTTCAGCTTTGTTCGTGATGATATTCCTTGAGAAAAGCACGTTGTTTCGTAGGGGAAAGAATCACAAGGATTCGGAGAAACCAGAAACGGTACCAAGGCAGGAAGAAATCTCGAAAGACAAAAATTCTCAAAAATGTAGCAGTGAAAAAGTATTTGATCATAGTAATGAAGTTAGGAACGCGAACTTTCATAATGATCACAGCTATTCCAAAAGCAGTGGGATAAATGTGGATGGTGTTTTGTCAGAGGGTGAAAATGCCGTCGAAGATCTCTCACGGCCAGTGTCAGCCAGGAAGAAGGTTGAAATGACACATCAAAATGGCTTTTTGTCGTATCTTTTGGCTGTTTTAGCACTGCTTGGTTTAGGAAGATTATCCAGAGGTTGGAACCAAACTGGAATGAAATGGGCTGATAGGCCTGACATCGGAGATTGGCTCGTAAAGCCCGAAAACAGAACAGTCTTGTCTATTTGCTACTTTATATCTCTAATTGCCATTGCCGGATTTCGTTACAATCGTCAAAATGCTGTAACTTCATTTGTCTTTATCATCGGCGCTGCGAATGCTTATGTTTACAGGACTGTCACGGGGAGTCTCCGGTTACCATGGATACCAAATGAACCGGTCACAAAAGGAATCCGTGCGGCACGCTTCACTTATTGTTGCGTCGTAGCCATGGTGATGTGGAACTTGTTTCTTTTATACAAAGCTAGCAGAATCAGCGAAAGAAGAAGGAATTTGCAGAAGTACATTTGCGAGATATGCGGTTCGCTAGAGGGACTTTTATCTGGCGTGTTGTTACTGGAAATTCTTCTTCAGAGACCTCATAATGTTACAGTTCTAGCTGTATTTGTTCTTCAAGAACATGTCTTGAGCAAAATATTCTGGAAAAGGTAAGCAAGAAAAACGGAAAACGTATTGTTTGCTTAAATGAACCTAATATGAAAAATATAAAACTTAAGGTAAAAAGCTGTTAAAATTATGAGTCTAAACGTTTTCGATCTGATGATGATCAAACAGATCGAAAGCGTTTAGACTCATAGTTTTAACAGCTTTTTACCTTA